TGGTTGAATGACGCTAACCATCAGACTCGGTACATCTACAGCAAGCCACTTAATAGTCTGACAAGCAGAATACAGATATGAGGAAAAAGCAAAGTGACAAAGAGATAAGCTCATTGCTGAAACTGCTTTTCTTTTCACTGTGCAGTCACAGACTGGGGCAGGCCAAGGATAACCTGGATTCAGAGGATTAGGATGTATGAAGCTGGCCATAAGACTAAGGACCTCTAGAGCCAGTCAGTTAATATGCTAAGAAGGAGCACACTGATAGGAGGAAAAAGCAAAGTGACAAAGAGATAAGCTCAAATCTGTGCTGCTTCTCTTTTCACTGTTCAGTCACAGGCCGGGGATGGGTCCAGGATAACCTGGGCTTGGAGGAAGTAGGTTGAATGATGCTGGCTATCACATTCAGTACAACTACAGCCAGTCACTTAATGTGCTGACAAGAAGCATACTAATAGGAGGAGAAAAAACAAAGTGATAAAGAGATTAAGCTCATCGCTGAAACTGCTTCTATTTCCACTGTCCAGTCACAGACTGACTGGGACAGGCCCAGGATAACCTGGGTTTGGAGGAAGTGGGTTGAATGACGCTGACAAAAAGCATACTAATAGGAGGAGAAAGCAAAGTGACAATAAAGATAAGCCTTATTGCTAAAATTCCTTCTCTTTTCATCGTCTCGTTACAGACTGGGGCAGGTCCAGGATGACCTGAGCTTGGAGAAGTGGGGTGAATGATGCTGGCCATCAGACTAACATCTAGTAGCATAAAAAAATCACTACATAGGAAACCTCTGGATTGATGGTGAGTACTGCAACAAAAGCTGGTTTTGTTATCTTATGTTTGAATGGGTTCTATCTAGCTGGAGTTTTACCATTTTTTCATAGGTAGATATTAAAGGTACACAATAGTGAAAGACTGAAAAGTTTGCATGTTTGAATTTACACCAGCACAGTAGAACTGACATCTGGGAACTGACACTCTTAAAGCAAATATGTGAGAATTTGGTGTGGCTGACCCAGTCCAGGACAAGGTAAGTTTACAGAAAAAGAGATTAGTTTAGTGTTAGGGTCTACATTTGGGTCATGTTAAGCTGGTTTAAAGAAAAACTGAAGGCAAACAGCTAATTTAGTAGTTGGAATACATGGGGTGTAAGTGTTAGTGGTCTTCAGTGATCTAATGGGTTAAACCAAGAGAGCAAGGTAAAGACCCATAGCATGGTTTAGAGCAGGGGTGTCAAACTCCATTTCATCGTGGGCCATATCAGCATTATGATTGCCCTCAAACGGCCGGTTGTATCTGTAAGACTAGATATCCAGAGCACCCCACCCCCATTACATCAGATGTCAAGAATCCCACACCCTACTTAACATCACTCCTCCTTTTGGGCAAAGCTGGAAAGCAGAAAGTGCAGGAAGACCAGAGGACCAGAGGAGGAGTGGAGTCAGTTACTGCTGAATGCTGAGACCAGGGGAGGCAGAGATGATGAGGGGGTGCTGCAGCTGCACTGAGAGGTGTAGGATTTGGCAGAGGAGTTCTATTCTCCTCTCTGCTGCCGACTGCTGAGACAAGGTGGGGGCAGAGACAAGGAGGTACTGTCAGGAATGGACTCAGTACTGGTGGTGGGACTCACCTGCCGTGTGGGCTGCAGTACCAGTGCTGACCAGCAGGTGCTCTCAGCAGCCAGAAGCTCACTCCTGCAATCAGCCAACACCTGGGGCTGATTGCAGGAGGTGTATTTAAGGAATGGCCAGACCTGCAGTCAGTGCCTTGGTGTATGTTTCCCATGAGCCCCTCTACCTGGTATCCTGTGTTCCTGCCTATCTGCCTAGTTGCTGACCCTGCTTTGATCCTGACCTCTGCTGACCGTCTCCTGTTGAACCCCTGGTTTGCCTGACCATCCTTCTGCCTGATCCTCTGTACCGTGCTGCCCGTGAGTTACTGAACCCGGCTTGTGACCCTGACTATTCTCTGCCTGCTCCTCCGGTACCTCACTGCCCGCACGTTGCTGACCTGGCCTGCCTGACTACACCTGACGCTACCCAGACGATCCATCCATCCCGCACGGATCCAGTCACTACTGTCCAAACCTGCCAGCCCCTTCACATCAGGCTTTACACCTCCCTCGGCGGACCCCTCTACCACAGTTGGATGCACTCAGGGGCCACGACCTGGTCTCAGTCCTGCGCCAAGTCCATCTCTATCATCAGGGGCTCTGGTGAAAAGGCAGACTGGGGCTTAGACTCCGCGCCCTGGGGAATCCTGTTCTGTGGGTCACTAGAGATCCCGCCGGGCGGTGCCTGACAGTACCTTACGGCCCGCCTGACCATTCCACCTCTCCAGCCCTGACTACGCCTGTGTTCCTGAAGCCTGCTACTTCCCTATTTCAGTCCACACATTTCTGGTCACACCCGGAACCCTGACAGGTACGTGCAGGAGAAGGGCCACATGAAATGGCCTAGAGGGCCGGATTCGGCCTGCAGGTCTTGTGTTGTTGACACCTGTGGTTTAGAGTGTCCACCATAAAAAAAAGAGCAGAGGTGTTAGCAGGTAGCAAGGTACCATGGGATATGTAGTCCTTGGAAATCAATAGTAAACAGCTGAGGAGAAGCTGCAAAGCATCAAGAATCCAGGACGTTGTGGAAAGAGATGGCCAGCAGACAGGCAACACTCACAACACGAATGAAGATTTTTCAAGTAAGCCTGTATTGAATTGTCAAATATAACTATTGTTTGAATTATTATTACAGCACCAATTTTAAAATTGAAAGTGTATGCTGTGGCCATATAATTCCTTTAAGTGTTTACATACATTCATTGCACTCAGAGCTCCAAGCCTACAGCTAATAATGCAGAGCAGTCAACAATGAGCACCAACAAGCCAAACTCAGCCTACATGGTGAAAGGCTTTGTTTTCCCAACATTCTGGCTGCTATGTCATGCAAGGCCAGTGAAATAGCTACACCTGAAAGGTCTTGAAGTGAGATTGATGTCTCTGATAATCCAGACCTGGTGTTCCATTGTTCCAGCACTGTCAACTACAGAGTTTTTATAACAAAATCAAACTTGACCGCCATTTTACATTTTTAGCCTGTACCACGTCTTCTAACAAATCAGAATTGATATGGTACAGGTTTTGCTTTGGTAGACTGACTCCTGATTGATTGTACATCGCTTCTCATTTGGTGCTTTGCTCTTTGCACTGTTTATTGAATGAGCCCCGCAAAGTTCTCCAATATATTAGAAAGCTATAGGGAATCATTCTGTTTCCTCTGTAAAATAGATTCATGCCAGTACAACCAATGAGGTTCCACCTGGCATACAATTTCAGCAACATATCTATTATATCCAATTTTTGCGCAGTACATCCTACAGGCAGTTACTATAAGGTGGGTACAACTACATCTATTAAAGTGAAACTAAACCTACAATAAAATAAAAGTGAGCAGGCTGGCTCTTTATTGCAGAAGAGATATGCTATGTCTTGTCCAGGGGCCGACTGACCATTCAAGAACTCGGGCACTGCCCGAGGGCCCAGGGTCAGTAGAGGGCCCCATGAGATGCCCCTGGTACCTTTCATAGGCTTTTTTGGGTATGGTTTGAGTGTGGGCGAGCACACAGGGGCCCCATGATCCTCTATTTCCCGGGGGCCCCATGATCTGTTAGTCCACCCTTGGTCTTGTCTGCAATGAAACAAACTTGCCTGCCTAGTGCCAGAAAGAATCACTTGTGTACATATGCGGGAGTCACATCATTCCCCAGCTGCCAATTAATAAGACCAAAGACCTGGCACCCGGAAGTAGTTGGTGAGGTGATGTCACCACTCAACAAGGGATCTAGATGGTGGCACCCCATTGGAACGAAGATGAGTATCTGCAGACTTTATTTCTGCTTTAGGATGGGCTCACACTTGAGCGTATTGGAAACCCGCATTCCCACTCCTGTGTTTTTTACATGTTTGTCAAGCGCTTCTGCTTGTTGCACATAGGGCAATCCATTCACTTGAATGGGCTGCCCTGTGCATGACAAGTGACCCAATGAAGCTTCAAATTGTTTTTCATAGAGCTTATTGGGGCAATTTTAGCGCAGTTGACACTCGGCAAATGCATGTCTGCTGCCCACGCTTGGGGTGCCATTAACGGGTAATGGAACCATAGGCACAACACACATATGCAACAAATTTCAAAAACTTCTGGGTATGAATGGAGCCTTAAAGATTAAATCTTGATAGGTGTCTAGAGAGGCCAACAGATTTTGCATGTCCAACAGAGATATAGATTCTAACCCAGTGCTTTTCCTTCCCCCTACCATCTTATAGCCCATAAAAACTAGGAAGCAGCAATTTTTCCCCCCAAAATTCAGCAAATTGGGTTTAGTTTTAAGGGTGCAATGGTCTTTATATGGTTCCTGAGGGTTGCAAAAGCTCCTATGCTCCTTTAAATATCCTGGACCTTTACTTGTGCCAAAAAATGGCCCCTTTGTTAACCTCATTATTTTACTTACTTTTTTCAAAGATAAAAAAGTAACAGACATTAAAAAAATAAAGTGAAATACAAAAGTTTGAAGCAACAGCATACAAATAATGATCAAATACACACAAAAATCAAGTGCTGTAAATAATAAAAAAACACTCGAAATTAAAAATACAAATTAACTAAACTACACCTAAGAAACACAATGAGTGAAATTCAGAGAAAATAGCGAGTTTGCAGCAAAACAAATGAAGCCGAAATCACCCAGCTTCTCCCTAATCATGAGGCTGCTATCAGGTAATTGCGGTAGTTTGCACAGGTAGGGTGCATCTATTATAGCTGCTTATGCTATTATATATAAATATATACACTTGACACAAAATATTTGATTATCTTATTATTATTAGATTATTTATTGTACTAATAATAATATTTAGTATTATTATTGTTATTATTATTAATAATAATAATAATAATAATAATAGTAGTAGTAGTAGTATATATTATTATTATATTATAGTATTTTATTATCTCTAATAACCTTGCTTGCATCACTTACTTTGTACAGAAAATGATGGTGCTATGTAAATAAATAATTATAGCAATAACAAAATAACTAAAAAGATTTAATGAACAGCAAATATATCGGAAGCACAAAAAAGAGGTAAAATTTAACAAGTAATACAAAGTGTTAGCAAACCTTGTCTCTCGCTCGTGTGTACAGTATCTAATGAGACCCATCGTAAAACTTAACCGATATTCAATTATCTGCCTGGTATAGCCATAAAACATCAATATTAAATCTGGCATAAAATCCACTTCCACCTTTATAGTTTTCCCCACCACACATTGAATCCAAGAAACTGTTTTCTTTCCTCCAGGCTGTTTCTCACTCTCACAACACTGTAGAAAATCCTTTGTGAATTCCTTATTAATTTACAACCTGTTGATCTCCCCAGGTGCTGCTGGCACGGCACACGGGTCCCAGGGATCGCTGCTGCTCGGAAACAATGTATCTATATAAAGTCAGCCATTAGACCAGGCCTTGCATATTTTCCAAAGTTTCCATTGAGCAATTTTTTATAATCAGCCTGGTATGGTGTGATTGAAGGGGCGCAAAGTTTCCAAATTATTTTATTATTCGTTTATTAAATGTCTTACATGCACAACTGGCGCCATGTTTAATCATCTTAGGCATTATGCATTTATTTGTTGGCAGAGTTGTCTCATTGGCAAAACAAGGGGGCTTAACTTGGGTCCCCAAATTTAGATGGACCACTAGAAATTTGGATATTTGATCTGTAAAGTATTTTGTGGAGGGGGGGGAGGGTAGAAAGATAAAAATACATTAAGAGCAAAGTTATCTGTATTCAGAGAACAGATCAGAACAGAATAAATCAAATCTATAATAGACACTGAAAGAATAGACACATGGGAAAAGAACAAAGAGCACAGCGATGGAAATTTTTTCCATTTTGTACCCTCTGAAAAAAGTAATTCAAATAAATAATAATAAAAAAAAGGTAAACTTTTAATCTGTCCAAGCCTAGGTTTTGCCTAACTAGCTCAATGTATAGCTGAAATTTAGTGTTTCAGGTTCAGTGAAATTTATGCCACAGCGAAACAGGCAAACTCAATTTTGCAGAAATCATTCTGCTTCTCCCTACTAATAAAGAAGCCTGTTTATCTCCTTTTATATTGCAAGCAATCAAGCTCACTAATCATTTAATTTATTTTTCTCCTATTACCCTTGGCGAGTTTTGCTAAAGCTCTCAAAGTTTTGCCTCTAATTTTCTTCTATTTCCTGACAAAGCTATCTACAGGCTCAGGGAAATTGGGGATCATCAATGGTTTCTTGGGGATCATCAATGGCACTCATAAACTGGGATTATGCAGATCTAAATGGATGCATAGAATTCTTTCTATGATATAGCTTCATATGATCGAAATTCTACATCTGCAAAATACTTTGTCATTCAATACACTGAGATATACAGCAAAATGTTCCACCAGGGGTTATCCAAGGAGTTATCCTGTTGCTTTCAGGGATGGGGAAAGAATTTGTGCCTTTCGGAAAGCAGTGGACCGCGCTTCTTATGGAGAAAGCATGTCAAGCTCAAATGAAACATCGGGCTGATTGAGTGGACTAAATCTTGAAGGGGACTGCATTGCGTCAACTCGGGTACCCCACTCACTTGGTGCTTGTTTACACTAGTGGTAGCCCTTTGGAAAACGACCTGTGGTTCATCGCTTTTTAGAGAGCATTTGACAAGTGGTGAGGAGGCTTTATGTTGCCTCTTCACTGCTTGTTTTAAACTCTAACAGCTGGCACTGGAGTGCCGTCACCGCCTGCACCGCTTGTGGTTACAAGAAGGTTGCGGCATGGTCCCGTTCACTTGAATGAGATGCATTTGGCAGGGTGTACAGTCATAATAGTCCTGGTAGATTTTTATTTGGAATATAATCAAAGTTATCTCTTATGCCTTTGTTATATGGATTTCACCAGGTTGTCACTGGTGGTTGGGTATAGTGTGAAAATCTTCCTTTCAGTATTCCACAGGATATTTAGATAATACACAGTTGTAAAAAAAGAAATGAAGTTCAGGTTTGGACCAAACACATGGACCAAATTTTACATTTTCAGAGTTTGGGGAGCAGCAAAACTAAATTGGGTGTTTAGTCAAATCAAACCTTTGGCTGCAACGTGATGTGAATTTTTTTTTGCCTGGAATCCCCCTTAGAATTCATATCAGACCTAAAGTGTCTGGTATGAATTCTGAGGCGGACACCAAGCCTTTTGCCCTAGGTCACAGCCTCAGGCTTGTTGTTACGGAAAAGGCAGCTGCCAGCTTTCTTGCAACCAGTAAGTCAGCAATGTCCTTTCAGCTGTGACCTAGGGCAAAAGTCTTGGTGTCCACCTCAGAATTCATACCAGACACTTTAGGTCTGATATGAATTCTCAGAGGGATTACGGGCAAAAAATAATTCATATTCAGATTCTAATAAGCACCCCCTACCCACATACCCTAAC